CGCACTTTAAATCTCGACAGCTTTACTTTACACTTTTGACGAGATTGTAACTACTACTAACGGAAGCAAAATTTTCACGGCCTGAGAAAAATGGACATGTTCACGGAAGTATATATTCACGGTGGTGACAGTTGCAGGAAAAAGAAAGTCCAGGAATTATTTCCTAACTGTAATGATAAGTTCACAATACAGAGGTGACAGTGAAAACCGTGAACATTGACCCCCCGCTTGCGTTGCGGTACAGTGAAAAAAAATCGGGAATTACAGCAATCAATTTACTGAGTATGTTTGCTTAGTTTCCAGATGTTTTGTACTTGTAGTTTTTAAATGAACGAAAACCGATGCGCGCACAGATGTTACTTTTGTGACAACATCAAAGTGATTTTGGTTTGTATGTTGAAAAAAATACAAAAGACTAACATTCGAAGTTATTGAAATTCTTGAGTAAGAACAATCAGTTTTGGAATGTTAAAAGCAAAGCAATGGATATTAAAACGAAAATGTTAAAATTAAATGTTGAAATTGTTAAAATGTAAAATGGTTAAAATGGTTAAAATTGTTGAAATTGTTAAAAATGTTAAAATTGTTAAAAATTGTAAAAAGGATAATTAAAAATATCCAGTGTACCGGGGTTCGAACTCGTAATGTCTGGACTTGCAGCCCTGCGCGTTACCAACCGAGCTATCTGGACACGTTTCCATTACTCTCTGCATTGTATGTCATATAAAGTGAACAACATGGCTGTTGTACGTACCGTTGTTTACAGTACTCGCGGGGCGCAGGTCATTGACCTCCCGCTTGCGCTGTTCCAACAGAGAAGAGCAAAATATCTGCCAGTTTTTGCGTCAGATTTTCAGTGTTTCTTAAAATCATATACAGGCATCCATGCAGCTATAATTCTTCCAACTAGTTCGTAGTTAGGTGAAATGTTTATAGGAATCACACGAATCGGTATCCAATATCAGAGTATCATGGCCCACGGCCGAGACCGCGTGGACCAGCTGCGCTGGTACGTGAAAATGGTAGTAAATAAATTAATTAGCCAACAGCCAATCAACAGCCACATCTGCAAACATGACCACACCTGCTTGTATGCCCATATTTGGGCCTTCCCCCGAATTCCTTTCTTATTACGTCACGCGCGTACGCCCCCACAGTACTTTCCTATGGGGACCACTAAAAAGCAAATAAAACGATTGTAAAAGCTTGTATCAAAAAAATTTAGAAACGCCTAAGGGTATTTACCCACTCGACCTCTATACGAAATTACAGGTAATTTCGCCCAAAAATGAAGGAGTTGAATCAATTTAAAGAAGTGGCAGGAGGAGGAGGAGGAGAAGGAGGAGGAGAAGAAACATCAGAAAAAGCAATATGGGTTCACCACCACTTCGTGGTGTGGTGAACCCATAATGATTTTTAACAAAAAGGAGCAGTTGCTTCCAAACTTTAAAGGCACTCTATGTAGTTTTTTGCGCAAAAAATTGAAATATTCTAATTATACTAAATTTCGGTGTTATTAGCAGTTACTATCACTTTTCAACACATTTGTGTCATTATTTCACATTTTTTTCGTATATTTTGTCCGTTCAAACAGTCCTTCTTCAGTTCCCGGTGCCACCGGTTTGCTCTGGGCAACAACAACAACATACAGGGGTTGCCCCCCTGGGGTGGCTAATTGGCCCGGGCATGCCAGGCTTGATAGACAGGGGCACATGTGACAAGATATACCCTCCTTAGAAAAAACTCATATCTTTCACATGAGGTGGAATATAATTATCAACTTAGAGTATTTTGTTGGGCATGAATAAACTGTGGTCATTATCCCTTCAAAAGAGATAAAAAATCTGGTAAACGATTAGGTATTTCAGAAACTGGTAAGCTATCAACTGACACCCCACTGGGATGTAGGTCAAACCACTGGGAGTGGACAATACCATATGTGTGGTTTGGCCAGAGGCTGAATAGAAGATCATTCACAGTTTTCTAAGCTTCTAAGGAGCAAGGATGTTGTATTTTTTGCTGTGGAGTATAATTTTGGAATACTAATGGGTTAAGCCAATGTACTATGTAAAGAAAAGAATAAAAAATATACTTTTTGTATTGTCAAAAAACTACATAGAGTGACTTTAAATTTTACGTAGGAAACCAAAATATTGAAATTGTATCCTCCTACAGTTACTTAGGAATTATATTTACAACTGGCGGTAACTTCAGCACTGCAATGAAAACTTTACAAAAAAAAGGCCTTACGAGCCCTCTTTAGTATAAAATCAAGTCTAGGTGACAGCAATGCATCAGTGTCAGTCTACTGTAAATTATTCGATGCTTGTACGAGTATTGTCCCCATATTAACGTACGGTGCAGAAGTATGGGGCAAGATTGGTCTAAACGACAACTGCCCAATAGAACAAATACATTTAAAATTCTGCAAGTCAATCCTTGGTGTAAGAAAAAATGCTAGCAATATCGGCTCAAGAGCAGAACTAGGAAGATTCCCGCTATGGATAGAAGTATATACAAGAATGTATTCGTATTATAAAAGATTAATTAGAGAAATACCGAAAGAGAACTTACTGTATGAAGCTCTGTTAGTGCAGCAAATGTCAAATATTACTAGAATACTCGAGGAGTCAGGTTTTGCCTACCTTTTACTCCAAAAAGACAGAAACACATCATCTGCCCAATCTGAATTAAAACAAAGACTAAAAGACAATTATCTTCAATATTTCTACTCAGAAACAAACTCCAAATGCAGCAAAAATGAAAACAAGGAAATAAGTTAAGCTTACGTATGAAAAAGAACAATATTTAGATGTACAAAACTTCAGTCATCGCCGAGCAATGACAAAATTAAGGATTAGTGATCACCAATTACAGATCGAAATCGGTAGGTACAACCAGACTCCCGCAAACAGCAGAATTTGCACTCTATGTAATTATAACTGTATAGAGGATGAAGCACACTTTGTTTTAGAATGTACGGTATACAATGACATCCGGAAATCCTTTACTAGCTCCTTACAGTTAGAAAAGAAATTTGTATACTTGCCGAAAATAGAATTGTTCAAACATATTATGGCATCCAAGCGCTATGATATAATTGAAAAACTATGTAAATTTATTCATACATGTTTCAAAAAGAGAGAAGAGATCCTGTAGGTAGATCCTGTAGATAGAGAAATAGCACACGAATGTAACATTTGCTTCTTCTATTCTTATTACCAAGTTATTTAACTTAAGTGCATTTGGCCCGTATAGGGCGTGAACATGCAATAAAGTTCATTGTCATTGTCATTGTCATTGATAATATAATTGTTTATTGCAAATTCTTGCCCGAGGGCTAATTGCAGGAACAGAAGAAACATGGTATAAAAACAGACAATAAGTACATATAGAACTACTGATAACTACTAAGAAACTACTGGTACAAATGTAAAAACTACTGGGTTTGACTTCTTTTTTTAAGACAGGAAGACAAAGGATCCCACTTTTTCTGTAATTTGTGGGTTTTCGGATGTTAAGAGGAGAGTAGTTTTCTTTTCATTTGTATATGTGTGAAAGTTTGGGTAGAATTTGGAGGCTACGTCAAAGAGTTCATTTCGTTCATTGCTATAGAGGGTACAATTTGATATAAAATGCGTTACCCAGCTAAAGACGTATCAAAATATGTTCCTTTTCACTTTCATTGTCCACCCAGTACACCTGTACCATACTATAAAAACTGTGTTTCTTCATTATGAAGAAAACCTCAATGCGAATATTACTCGCTTCCTATGAATATAAATATCGTGAAAGAGAAAAAAACTATAAAAATTACATCTCCGTGATATTCAAGGTACCTGCACGTGTATAACATGTCATGCCATGCATGACGATGCCAATTGTCTTACTGCATTCTTTAAAGAAAATCATTGAGAACGTTACTCGCCTCGTATAATTTATCAAAAAGTGTATAACGGCTATATCAAGATCCCATCATAATAATTTTGGATTAAAACGAAGACAAGCACAGTTACTTCTTCTGGTTCAGTCTTCGTAGCTCGGAAAGCACAGCTGTACTTTTTTTTCCAACTGGTTGAACTGGCTCAAGTAAAGGCGAGTGTGTAGATTTGCTTGTTACAGTAAACGGATATGGAGTCCACCTCCTCTCCGGGCCATGAGACTTGTTGAGACCACACCGCCTCCCGGCACACCCCGGGGACGACTTCCATCTTATAGCCCAGCTTCTCGAAGAAGTGATCGAAGAAACACAGCGTCTTCTCCTTCTCGTGCTCAGACATCTCTCCCATGGCTATCTCTGGCAGGGGACACTTGTGGTCCTTGTGACCCTTGTCTTGGTCGAAGTCGTAAGGCTCGTTGTAGTTTCCGATGGACTCGCCCGATACCTGATCATTGAGCACACACACGTAGTTAGTATTTGTGAAAGACGCCAAAAGACGAAGTACCAAAAAAATATGTGCTATATATATTTATATCGCTAGTGCTTTATTTAAAGTCAATAATTTGTCATCTACTATTAGTAAGATAACCCCCTCGCTGATATGAATACTGCTACTAGAGATCTTGCCAATTGCTCTCACATTTTAACACGTGTTTTAACTTTTCTAAACTACAAAAGATGACTTCGACCCTCGCCCGTGCATACCTTGTGGCGCACGGCCTCCCAGTGAGAATCCTGGTCGAACTGGAGGACCACGCGGCTCTTCCTGCTCAGGGTGTCCGCAAACTTCTTCTGGAGAAGGTCGGCGATCTCGTCCGCCTTCTCCTGGGCGGTGGGGCACTGCTCGACCCACCTGGCCACCTCCTCCTCCTCATGGATGGTCCTGTGCCGGCGGAGGATGTCGGCGAGCGGGGTGATCCCGTAGTAGAGCGCCTCGTGGTAGACATCTTTCGCCTAGACAGGAACGATGGGCGTTGTTGAACTTTGAAATGAAGGCTAACATTGAGAAGAAGGTGAATTACCTTTATTCCTTTATCGGTGGACGATACGCTGAGCAAGTTTTTTTTTATTGTGTTTCTGATCCGGACGGTGCGTTCTTTAAACCGCAGTTTCCGATTTGACATGTTTCAGAACAATAATGGTTTGCATCGCTTCACTGATATAAGAAGAAAACGTGAAAACGTGGTATGATCAGAATTGTGGCGTTTGTAGCCTTTTTGATAGGCAAGTTCTTGCCTTGATTCTGTAAAACTCTGACAAATACTCGGCTACAAGCAAAAGAAACCACCCAAAAGCTGCCACGGCTAGTGCTTTAAGTCTCACCTTATCCACAGGAGGCAGCCTGCTGTCGCGAAGGAAGTTCAAGATGTGGCCGAAGTTGGCGCCGTCACGTTCGATGAAGTAGCGATCGTCTTTATCCTTCACAACAAGATGGCGGCCGCTGAACATCGCCGCCAGCATGGACTCCTCGTACTTGCGCAGAACGGGCAGGGTGCTGGTGAAGTGACGGCCGCCCACGTTCAGAGGCACGACGAAGTGAAACTGTACAAACACATCCGCACATTTCATTCCGTTGTATTGTTTCTATCAGGCTCTCGGTGCTTACAAAAAGTCGACTATATCCTGTCAGGATCCTGTCAGCGCCAATGAACTTGACTTACTACTTCGTAGTTGGTCATCGCTAATGTTGCAAGTTACGTCGGTCTCGCATAATTCAATCGAGATGATACAGATCGACGCTTTAGGGATAAAAGGCACATCTACGCTTCTGTCCGTCATTGTCTCTGAATGTAATTTTGGAACCAAACATGCGTATCCTGCAGACAATGTAATGGGGACACTGTTGAGTGTCGATTGCATCAGCCTTAAAAAGGAGGTAAAAAATGTGGCCTTGCGTAGTCTTTTTCTTAGGCATTTTAGCGCTTGGGCTTTACGACTCGGGGTTTATTCTTTGCAGTTTTTATGCGTTTTGCAATGACAATTATACCACTCAACACACTGCTTTTAGTTTCTGACTCGCTTATCACACATGCCGCAGGTGTTGTGGATTTGTCCACGATTCGGGTGTATGTCCAACGCTAGACAAAGCAAATTTACTAGCAGCGGGTTGCTCTTGGCCTTACAGACCGTCAGCCGGTGACTGGTGTTTTGCACCAATAAAAACGACAAAAAGCTGATTTGTTTGTCTTCATGTCCTGATCGGTTTCACGGACGTCACATTTTGGGTGGAATGGCGAGAAGGCAGATGGCAACCAGAAGCACCTGAAAGGCACGATGTTATATCCTACTCTGTACAAACATATAATTGACCCCACCTAATCCAAGCAAGACTTACCGACGTTCCGTCCCTGGGACGCTGGAGAGCCATGGTGAGAACTTGTTCCGTCTGCTGGACGGCGGAGACGGTGTGAGATGTCGGCATGTTGTGGACGCGAGGTTCGGTACTCTCTAGCGAAGGCTGTCAATGCCTGATATATAGGCCCTCGTCCTCAATTCCGAGAAATCTGTAACGCGACGTCACCGTTCCCATTGTCCTCGTGTGAAGCGGTGCCATATATGGCAAGCTGTTATCATTGGCGGATGAAGCTGATGTCCATCTCTACAGGTGAATGACCTGTCGGTCCTAATTAGTTTCGACTTACCTTCGGGCTATGAAAATGATATCCTTCTTCATGCACTGTACATCTTTGTCACAAATTTGTGGACTTAAAATTAACCACGGACTCACAAGCAAGAACTCGACAAAGACACTCTACATGAAATAAAACACACACTCTACACTGTGATGCAAAAAAACTAAAAATAGGTCAATAATCCCAGTGCACATCATGGCAAAAGAGTGGACGATAACCATGAAAGGTTAATTTATTAGTAAAATTATTTATATTTATAAATCGTTAAGGAGTTTCACAATGTTGGACAAGGGGGTCTTGGAGTAACGCATCGTACGTGCTACAATACCGTCAAATTTGTTTGTTTTTTTGGCTTGTTGACCGGTACCACCCTGTTACTTCGCCTCTTGTCTAAGGAAGCCAGTGGTGATAGAGAGTTGATTTGATTTCATCGCTATCCAAATATTTAAAAAGCACCATGCATGGTATCACTTGTAGTACAAGGTTCTTTACTGAAAGTGGAAAGTTTTGAAACTTGAAAAATTGGCCCACCCTGCCTGGTACACCCTGATCTTGGAATAGCTGATCGACAAGAAAGTCATCGTCAGAAGGCTATATGAATGTAATACCTATAAATCACTTTGGTATATATATATATATATATATATATATATATATATATATATATATATATATATATATATATATATATATATATATATATATATATATATATATATATATATATATATATATATATATATATATATGGGGGTCCCTACGTTACTGCAGTGGACCTTTTGTGTTTTTCATTTGTAAATACGATAACTGGAGGATATGTAAATTGATGTTCATGATTATTGGTAGGCAAATTACTGTTGAGGTGACCAAGGTCAAGTTCGAAAGTGGGGGTCTCACGTCACTGCAGTGGACCTTTTGTTTTTGTTGGTTTGTTTGTTAGCAGTTCACGTTCTGGGTGAGCAATTAGGTTCAGGGGCATAGATAAAGTGGTGTAAGTTTGGAATCCCTAGTGACTTGTGGGGAAGTGCAATGGGCCTTTTTGTGTTAACTTTGGGAGTGGATTTGGTGTATCTTATCTAGGTTAACAACCTTCAGCTGGGTTACCCCATCCACTCCCACCCCCTCGGCCACTCAGTGAGACCTTGTGTAAACACAGGTGTGGAAGACGATCATTATCTATCAACACTTGAATATCAATCTCCATTACCCAGCTAAAAACGTATCAAAATATGTTCCACCCAGTACACCTGTACCATACTATAAAAACTATGTTTCTTCATCTCCATGATTTGTAAGGTCCCCAGCATAACTGGTGCCAGGACGATACAAATTTCTTCCTTCATTAGTCTCCTATTAATATATAAAAAAGTGAAATGTCGAAATCAACCTCCCATCTTAATAATTTTCATGACACCATTAAAACGGAAACGCTTGCTTGATCGACACACACAAACAAAATTACGTGTTAACATGTTTCTGGTTTAGTCTTCGTAGCTCGGCAAGCACAGCTGTACTACTCTTCCAAATGGCTCAAGTAAAGGTGAGTGTGTAGATTTGCCTGTTACAGTAAACGGATATGGAGTCCACATACTCTCCAGGCCAGGAGACTTCTTGGGACCACACCGCCTCCCGACACACCCCGGGGACGACTTCCATCTTATAGCCCAGCTTCTCGAAGAAGTGATCGAAGAAACACAGCGTCTTCTCCTTCTCGTGCTCAGACATCTCTCCCATGGCTATCTCTGGCAGGGGACACTTGTGGTCCTTGTGACTCTCGTCTTGGTCGAAGTCGTAAGGCTTGAAGTAGTTGCCGATGGACTCGCCCGAGGCCTGATCATTGAGCACATACATTTAGCAAGTATTTGTGAAAGATGCCAAAAGACGAAATACATGTACTTCGAAAATTAGTGGTAGTGCTTTTTTCGTCATACTTCAACTCTGTTTTGACTGAAATACTTTTCTAAACTACAAAAAAAACGACTCGGAGATGAATAAATATAATAGCTAGAGCCCTCGACCGTGCTTACTTTGTGGCGCACGGCCTCCCAGTGAGAATCCTGGTCGAACTGGAGGACCACGCGGCTCTTCCTGCTCGGGGTGTCCGCAAACTTCTTCTGGAGAAGGTTGGCGATCTCGTCCGCCTTCTCCTGGGCGGTGGGGCACTGCTCGACCCACCTGGCCACCTCCTCCTCCTCATGGATGGTCCTGTGCCGGCGGAGGATGTCGGCGAGCGGGGTGATCCCGTAGTAGAGCGCCTCGTGGTAGACATCTTTTGCCTAGACAGGAACGATGGGAGTTTTTGAACTTTAACGATTGAGAGGAAGAAGCGTTACCTTTATTCCTTTATCGGTGAACGATACGCTGAGCAAGTTTTGTTTATTGTGTATCCGGGCGGTACGTTCTTTAAACCGCGTAGTTTCCGATTTGACATGTTTCAGAACAATAATGGTTTGCATCAATTCACTGATATAAGTAGAAAACGTTGTATGATCAGAATAGTGGCGTTTGCAGCCCTTTTTGATATATAGGCAAGTTCTTGCCTTGATTCTGTAAAACTCTGACAAATACTCACTACATGCAAAATACGCCGCCCAAAAGCTGCCACGGCTAGTGCTTTAAGTCTCACCTTATCTACAGGAGGCAGCCTGCTGTCGCGAAGGAAGTTCAAGATGTGGCCGAAGTTGGCGCCGTCACGTTCGATGAAGTATCGGCCGTCTTTATCCTTCACAACAAGATGGCGGCCACTGAACATCGCCGCCAGCATGGACTCCTCGTACTTGCGCAGAACGGGCAGGGTGCTGGTGAAGTGACGGCCGCCCACGTTCAGAGGCACGACGAAGTGGAACTGTACAAACACAACCGCACATTTCATTCCGTTGTATTGTTTCTATCAGGCTCTCCTACAAAAAGTCGACGATATCCTGTCAGGATCCTGTCAACGCTATTAATGAACTTGACTTACTACTTCGTAGTTGGTCATCGCTAATGAATTATGCTAACGATCTCGCATGATTCAATCGAGATGATACAGATACGCTTCTGGGATAACAGGCACATCTTACATTTCTGTCCGCCATTGTCTCTGAATGTAATTTCGAAGTCGCAAAGGCGAGAGCAAACATGCGTATCCTACACAACAATGTAATGGGGACAGTGTCGGGTGTCAGATTGCATGTGGCCTTGAATACTAGTAGTCCTTTTTATAGGCATCAGAGTACTTGGGCTTTACGACTCGGGCTTTATTCTTTGCAGTTTTTATAACGCGTTTTAATGACATTATATCACTTCTATACCACTCAACGCACAGGTCTTTGTGACTTGCTTATCACACATGCCGCAAGTGTTGATTTGTCCAGGATTTGGGTGTATGTCTAACGTGTTTTGCATCAGTAAAAACTTGATGATAAAAAATTTAAAATAAAAAAGAGTGATTTGTTTGTGTCTTCGTGTTTTGATCGGTTTCATTTACATCACATTTTGGTAGATGGCAGCGAGAAGGCAGGCGGCAGCCAGAAGCACCTGAACGACACGATATTTTGCCCTATTCTGTACAAATGATGGCCCCACCTTACCCAAGCAAGACTTACCGACGTTCCGTCCCTGGGACGCTGGAGAGCCATGGTGAGAACTTGTTCCGTCTGCTGGACGGCGGAGACGGTGCGAGCTGTCTGCATGTTGTGACTTGCGGTTCGGTGCTCTCTGAGGGACGGAGGGTGTCCACGGCACATATATTACATATTCCTTGTATAAGCCCTTGCATAAGCCCTCATCCTCAATTCCGGGAAATCGGTGACGCCGAGGTCACCGTTCCATTGTCTTCGTGTGAACCGGTGCCATATATGGCAAGCTATTGTATTATAGGATGGAGCTGATTGACCCTTGTTACTACTTTTATGAATGAGTAGACCTTTGTTACTACTTTTGTTGATTGAAAAATAACGAACTCGCAAGCAAACAACGATACAAATACAGTGTATATACGAGGGTACAAGAAAGTACAATAAGTCAGTAACCTGACTGTACACCATGGCAAAAGAGTAGACGATAAGTTCGAATAACAGTTTAAGTTGAAGGACTATCTAGGGCGATCTGGGCGAAAGGCTATGGGAACGTTTCCAGGTCAAATGGACAAAAGGGGGAGGTAAAATAACCTCAGTATACCTCGTAGCAGAACAGCTGGCAGTAGAAGCCGACAGCTGACCATAAAAAACTAGAGTTCCACGATTTCATACCTTCGCTTTTTAAATTTGTCATCGCACATCTTAACATCATGCATCTTACATGTTCGTTCATCATTACATTGACTTTTGTCAAACAATGTTAACCTTTATGATTGACGAGTTATAAATGTTTCATTGTCTCATTGATATGCAAATACTGGCCACCACACCAGACTGACCCGATCCCTGTGATATCTGCTGTACGCGTGTATACGAGATGTCTTGTGCCTTATCAGGTTCTATCATTAATATAAATGTAAGCTAGATACAAATACAAATAACTTTAATTATAAATTCCCAAGCACCAAAAATCTCTCCCTCTAGCCTGGTATATGTATATCCAGCCGCTATTCCAGCACCGGTTCGCTCCTCTGTTGACTTCACTACAGAATATTGAGATCAAGCATAATTTGTGATAGAGGAGCAGACTGGAGGTAGGGTCATAAAGGGCTACTTTTCTTTTACATTCAAGTTCTTAAATACAAGTAAGAATGTGGAGCTTTTTTGCACAATGGATGGTCGTATCCGCGGTACCGTCGGACCATCGCACGGGCTGGGACCACACCGGGGCTCCGCAGTCCCTCTCACTCACTGTCACATTGTAGCCTAGCCTGTGCAAGTAACGCGTGAAGAAGCTCAGGTGTTTCACCCTGTCAGACTCCGACATTTCCCCCAGCAGCACGTCTGGAGAGGAGCAGCGGTGGTCCTGGCGAGCCGTCGTTTCTTCCAGCTCCTGGGGCGGAATGTAGATGCTGACGTCACTCCCACGGTCACTCTTCCTCACTGATTTCCAGGCCTGCTCCTGGGAGAACTGGAGAGTGACTCTGCACGAGCGGCTCAGGGTATTCGCGAACCTCTGCCGAAGTATGCTGACCACTTCAGTCGCCTTTTCCAAGGCTTCGGGGCAGTCTTTTGCGAAGGAGACATCTTCTTCCTCCTCAAAAACGGACCTGTGCTTGCGAAGCGCCTCGACAAGTGGCTCAATCTTGTAGTATCGTGCCTCCTTGTAGACCTCTTTAACCTGAGGCAACAGAAGTAACAATTGCAAATGCAACATCAAAAGCGCTAGATTAAGGATAAGCAATCTGCTTTTTAAATAAATATAACCTTCGCATAATGCATTCTCTTTCTGTCGAATAGACCAATGGTATTATGGTCGTGCAGGGTCGAGTAATCTCAAAGCAGATTCTTCGGTGGCAATATCGTAATCAATCAGTAGGCAGTACATTATCTATTTAATTGGTCAGACAGTATCCAACCGGCCAACCGTTGAGAGCAGAAATGAAACCTAGTAAACACTAGTTCAATTAGAAACAGTGCTAGTCACTAGTTTGACTTTACGACCTTACCTGGTGTATTTCTATATTTACTTGCTTAAAAGGTGGTGACCGATTGCAATTATCTTTCGGGCATTGGCCGAGAGATCAATGTTATTGACCATGTTAACATAGCTATTCTAGTTGATCACCTTGTCAGCTGGAGGCAGTTGACTGTCGCGGAGGAAGTTGAGGATGTGGCCGAAGTTGGTGCCGTCTCTGTCGATAAAGTAGCGACCTTCCCCGTCCTTCAATGGAACGTGGAGGCCATTAAAGATGGCTGCCAGCCTGGAGCCCTCATACCTGCGCAGGACTTCGAGTGACGCCGTGAAGTAACAGCCGCCCACGTTTAGCGTCAACACATAACCGAACTTTCGAGAGGAAGACAAAATTGAAAGTTGAACTCGACAGCACAGCAAAAAAGTAGTTTAACATGATTTGAAGTTACACATTGTAATCTGGAAAAAAATAGCTCAGCACAGCTTTGTACTATGGCCCTTGAAATGTGGGTCACAACAAACTCTAAGTCACTTCAAACGTAACGTGCGTATCACGGACTGTATAAAATGTCATTAACTACCTGCTCAACGGCAGAATCCATAGGTCGAATTCTTGGGACACAGACGGGGAAGATCTGTACTTCTATTAACTTGAAATAAATCTCTGTCGATTATCCCTCATTCCAGTTTTACCGGGTCATTCGGCACATGACAACACAGAGTTCGTTGCCCGTCGCGGTCTGTTTATCAAACAGGCCAGGGCCGACCTCTGTTATGAAACAAACAAAATCTAGATAAAACCGTTCCTTTAATTTGAGGCTTGCATTTTTATGTATCTATGTGTCTCCGAAACGCTGAGCTGAGCAAGTTCTAGTGAAGTAGGGAGGCTTCTTCCTATGTTTTTTTTTTTTTGTTGTTGTTGTTGTTGTTTTTGACAGGTGGATCCTGACTGAAGCCTTTGAGTTCAGTGACCCCTTCTGTGGTATGTCCTGGTTTGAGGTCCTCCGCTCTATTTTGGGAGTTAATTGGCCTGAGTATGCAAAGTAATCTGGCATAAGCTACGACCCGGCTGCTATTACGGTTAATAAGTGATGACCTTTATTGCACATATATTTGCTAGGCCATTAGGCCAGGTAGAGGCCATGAAAAAGACAAAGTTCACAACTAAATTAAACTCGCTTACAAGTACTAGTATAGTTTGTGTACGTGGCTTCTATACTCGATTCTTGGTATTTTGGTAATGATGGATATGTAACAACTGATAGGCTTCTATGGAGGGTGTATGGAGAGCGAGTTTCATCACATTTAGGGATCTCCGACGATGATTTTCAAACAATGGTGTTCGAGAGGAGGGGCCTGTACATCTCGTTTCCCAATTTCTAGATTAGGTGCAGAGCGTCTATATCTCGCTAGGTGCGCTTGTCCAGATAAAATGAACTTTTCTTTGGGTAATGAAAAAAAATGAACACAGATGTATTTTCCATCCATTCCTAGTGACTCAAAGAAACCTCTACCCTCCTTTGGAACTAGGTTCTACAAGACGGACTTTTATTTGGGGATTTATAATTTTTTTTTCTTTTAATGGCCAGTTCAAAGTGTACTCGATCACATGCCCGTAGCCAGGATTTTGAATGGGGGGGTTCTTCCCACTGCTTGAGGGGACCTCGAGCGCCGTAGGCGCGAGGCGAGCGCCGAAGGCGCGAGGCGAGCGCCGAAGGCGCGAGGTTCCTAGGGGGGTCCGGGGGCATGCTCCCCCGGATGAAAAATGAACCTTCTAAAATGGCATTTCGTGCATTTTCAAGAGGATTTCCAAGAAAAAAATCAGAGATAGATTTTTATTCAATGACAAAGGGAGCAGTTTTTCTACATAAAATGTGGACCAAAAAGTGGACCTTTACATAAAATGTGGACCAAAAAGTGGACCTTTACATAAAAAGTGGACCAAAAAGTGGACCTTTGAGCCTTTGGGGGGGGATTCTTCCGAACCCCCCGAACCCCCCCTGGCTACGGGCATTTATCAGAAAAAAAGCCCCAAAGATGCCCGACTCGTACATTTAGAACCTGCTAATGATGCTAGACAAAAAGACTCCTGTCCGGTTAACTTTCTCTGTTCTTTCTTCTTCACAGTTATTTTCATTTCGAGTTCCTTCATCATCAGCCGGATTGTTTTCTATTCGTCTATTACCAATACTGTGTATGCTAAAAGCATATTCGTGCTTTACCGTTTACGCCTGTCAGGGAGGTTACATATTATATGTCTTTCTAGTTGTGGTCCGCTTTTCTTCTCTCTTTGTCTTTCCCCACTGCATCTGCTTGTAGTTTCCATCAGTCGTTTAGGCACCTTGTTTGGAAACCACAGTACAACGAGCCGACACCGCCCACCTGACTAGCTTGGAGATAAATTACAGACTACTGTATTTTTCTCCCACTTCTGTGCCTTATAAATTATTCCGTGGGGAACTAACGCTATCACGTGATACCTGCGTGACGCCAAGTGTAGGGAGGGTGTCCTAGAGAATAAACGCCAGCGCTAGTGCCGGAAAAATAACATATTCAAAATCTCGTGAGGTTTCTTCCACTCGTTTCTTCGTGACCAACATCAACCCATTCAATTGCTTTATACTTTCCTTGAATTTGATGTGACCTTGTGTCTATAGATCGTAATTACTGTATGGACATGGCGAATAAATTATTGATACGGATACCGCGCAACTCCTTACTGAGCCTCCAGAAGCAGATGTCAGGTGACACAAGCGTCCCTGAAATAGCCGGCCGACTCACCGCCCATCTCGTCGTTTTCACCTAGTATCATTCCGCGGAAGATAGTAAGTCCCGAAATCAATCGCGTCTTTTAGTCCTTTTTCTGGACAATAATGAAAACGACTTGGCATTAGTAGTATTGCAGTTTATTATCTGTTGAAATTGTAACAGTAAAATTGATTTGATGGCTTATTTTTGCGCTGCGCGTAGGGTTTTACAGAGAGAAGTGATGCACGTCGACTGAGGCCTGAATTTTTGCAGCGGCTTTGTCACATGTTCATTTCCTTCTCTCACATGACCTCTTGTTTGGCCCCGTGATCAGGCTTTCCTTCTACCTGGAAAATTTAAAATCCGAACTTCAGGACACATGGATATGCTAGATCAAGCCCTGGACTCCAGGTAGGTTGGGTTGGGTTTTGCTCGCGGGGGATGGTTTGGGCCACAATGGCGTCTGGGTTGGCACAACAAATGTTGCGGAGCGGGAATCTGGGAAAGGCATATTTGCTGTCTACCGAGGAAGAAGGAGAGAGGGGACTGGCTCGGGAAAGTGTTCGGGGGTGGAGAATTCACCACAGTTCCGCGGGAGATGTCCATGGGACGCGCCTTGGGACTGACGATCGCGGGGGAAATGCACGGCGGCTCACGCCCGTCCCGGCCTTCGGGGCAGACATGCATATGAAGCCGACGCGCCATTGATAAGGCCCTGGCGCGTCGTGGGGCTTCGATCCAGGGGCCAGGCGGCAGGGAGGGAGGGGGTGGGGCCACGGGGATGGGCGCCTTTCCTGTGGGTCGTGTTCGTGAGAAGATGTATTATTTATGCCACTAAGGACTAGCTTGTAGGACACCCCCGTTGTAGCAATCAAAACAGGGCAGATATCGTAACGTTTACAATAAATTATGAGTATGTTTCACTTTTGCATAACCATGACACAGTACAGAGATGCCCACTCCTGTTGTGTGTTTATAGTAACTAAATGAGGAAATTTGTAATGGAACAGAGCATAGTACTAACGTTAAGTATCTAGTAGGAATCTAATCTATTAATGGATCTCTGCCAGGTGCAAAAACCGTAACGGCTAGGTCTGTAAAAGTGCTTGTTTGCAACATATGGTTAAATTCGATAATACTACTATAACAAAGGTTCAACTTCAACATAATAGTACATGTAAGTTGACATAGCAGGTGAAATATGCAGTATTACAAGCCCCACAGGTTTAAAGTCTGTAATTGAGATTTTCAATATCAAAGATTCTACATTTCTTCTACAGCCAGGAGAAGGGGCAAGAAGGAGAGGAGCAAGTCACAATCCATGCAGTGTCAGAAGGTGAGTCATGTGCCATAAGTTTGATTAAAAAGGAACCCAACACACTTAACGAGCATAGAAGTGGAGATCTGGTGTGCTCGGCTGAAAACATGAGCCATGGCATAATCAATCATTAATAATAATAAATAATTATTTTCAATTTTATATCTTTAAACTTGAATCTGTGTCATTAACAGCCAAGCATACCGTCCTCTGTAGGTGGTGAAACGGCAACAGTTACAGTAAATGCCTCTGATGACCAGACTGCTGCCGTGATCGCGGCCCAGCAGGGAGGGAGTTTCACAGACGGCAACATTCAGTACCAGTTCCGCACAGAGAGTAATGGACAGGGACAGGTAAGGAACCGAGTGTGCATGTGTGGTCATGGTCAAAGATCACGATCCCAACATGATTGTATAGACATCTTTGCAACATGACAGAAGGACCAAACCATGATGAGAGTCATTGAAACAGTGTACCCTCTGTAAGGCCCCTGTCACACATGCTTGACCTTCCCAAGACTTTGCCCGCAACCAAAATTAGCACCGGCTCTTAAGTACCCTGGAGTCCTAGACAAATTAGAATTTATAATTGCAGTGATGCTGACGTCATTGCTTTGTTTGTTTTTTTCCAGGTGACGTACAGGGTGGTGCAGGTGACAGATGCTGCAGCTGGAGACCCCCAGGCTGACACCTCCCAGGTGAATGTGGTAGTCACCTCAGGAAACTTTGTACCTGCTTCTCAAACTGTCACCCAGGTCAGGAACATGTAATGGCTTTGGGCAGCTTCTGCTTTCGTTTTCACAGCTTGCCACTTGTCAGCCTTTTTATACATGTCATGCTCTTCTTGTCATGGGCAACATTATAACAAAGGGATTTGCCAAAATTCAAAATCTTTCAAAACATTGTCCAAATGGTTGTCATTGCCAGGACTGTGCCATTGGTATTGATATTGGTAAAGGCATGCAGCTTTGTGATATTTCTGCTTGCTTATATATCACGCTTCAAAGCGGCTAGATTTTGTCTGCATTTTGTACCTGTAACAATAATTTTAAATCATTTTTACCCGAACTCTAATCACTGAAATGTAGTCCCATTTATGAAACATTTTTAAAATCACCTTTTACAGCAGGCGGTGATTCAGAGCCAGTTTGCCAATGGCACGAGTCCTTCCACCGTTACAGAGCACAATGCCGGGGAGACTCGGTTCACCTACTTCCCTGCTACAAGTGTGGGGGAGGCAGGGTCAACCCAGACTGCTGAGGGCACCACACTCACACAGACTGCAACAGGAGGTCAGTTGCATGAGAACTATCTATTCATCAACTCCTTTTATCACCATCTCTAGCACATCATAACCTACCAGCATATTGAAGAAAATTTTCGGCATTTGCTCATGAAATGCATTTAATTGCATAGGACTTTTTACCGGAGAATTCTCTTAATACTCACAGGTTTGAATCTACTGCAGTAGATCAAAATTGACCTTGAAGTTGTTGACACCTTACAGAGTTTATCATCCAGACAAGTGGAGCAAGAGAGGCAGTGACCACCACCCAACCCGAAAATGTCACTCTGGCCCAGCCAGCACAAGGAGGTAGGTGCAATTCATATTTTTGCAGTTTTAGAAGTGAAAAAAAGGCTTGTTAGAAACACCAGGCATTGTGCAGGAACTACTAAGCTGTCATTTTCCTTTAATTTCCTGTTGGATTTTTACATGACTGTACCAATTCGTTTGACATTTGGCAATAGGTGTACCAAGAGTTACCTCGTACAAGCCCTGAGTGCAAGGACTTTTATCTTCATGTATTTTGCAAGGTTGGCTTGCCTTTGTCAAACACATTCAATCATCTTTTGGTTTCATAAACCATGATGCATTCTGATAGCACCATATACATAATTCTAGTTCTTCACTGCAGTAGTATGTGTAGTCCAGCGGTTTGTGACCCTGCCTCTAGACCAAGAGGTTGAGAGTTGAAATCCCTGCTAGGGTAGACTAGAATTGATCAACCCACTTTTGCATTTGTAGTGATTGGCCAAGATGTACACCAGACAGGAGCACCAGGTAAAATATCCTCCCAGCTTGAAGACAAAACTTTGAAGTTTGAAATACAAGTCTAGCATGTAAACTTGTGGAAGGGATAGTATGGCTGCCTCAAAATGTGCCCAGATTTTCTATATTTGTTGCTTTTGCCCTTGGCAGAAGATTGTATGATATCTGAAAGCAACCTGTCATGAACTTAAAGCTACCATTTTGCATTGACTGTAAGAGATTGGTGTTTGTCATGCTTTTGTTGTGAAGGAAACAACATGTTAGTAACAATGATTCCACTTTACAAATAATGGTGTGAAGGAATGACTTTTGGTGACCACTCAAATTTGTTTCAAGCCCAAGTTATAACTACATAATTCTCAACTAACTATCAACTCTCACATAAAGCATGTGATTTGAGAATCTTCACTTCCTAAAACTACTAAAATGAATTATGGAAATGCTTTTCTGTCTTTCAGCCCAGCCATTACCCTGACTGTGCTTTGATGAAAAATACTGATGTGTTCTTTATATTCTTGTCCACCAGGTCAGTTCTATGTCATGATGTCTCCACAAGATGTTTTGCAAGGGGGAGCACAGCGCACCATCGCACCAAGAACACATCAGTTTAGTCCGTGAGTGTACAGACTTCCATGTCTTGTGCAAAATAACATGCCCTAGCAGTGTTGGAATTACCACCTGCATAAAGCAAATACTTTTAAAAATACTTTTAGATATTAGGAGATATTTCTGTTGCTTTGGACATTCAAATTTGTTTTAGCAATGGGAAAAGTCTCTCCCAAGACATGTCCTTTATCATCTAAATATTTCCCTTCATGTTCATTTTCTCACAGAAAAATGGACAATACACGTCCAGTTAGGGACGAAAGGAGAAGAGTGTCCCACAATGAAGGCAAGTATTGGTCATTTTCCTATAATCCAAATTCTCACCGCCCAGTTTTATTTGTCTGTCCTTCCCTGTCTTGTGAGGGTTAGGCGTGCTTCCACTTCAGATTTTGAGGTCTGATGGCAGGTTGCCAGCTATTTGAATTTGAAAAGAGACTTCTTGAGGAAGTCTGCAATACAACATCTGCTGTATATCCTAACTTACGCAGATCAGGTGTACTTATGGTGCAATATGTTATCAGGAATAGCTTGCCTTTAACAAGCGATTCTTCCAGTTATCTCAAAAAATCAAATAAGACATAACATAAGCACAATGTGAATACGCTATAAATATTCAGTTGTATACATGTTCATAATACATGTACATTTATATGTACAATTGCCAAACCAAAGGCTTATGCATAAGGGCAGAACCTGTCTTCCTATTCAAAAAGCTTCAACAATGGCACAATGTAATGAATTATTGTTTTTCTTTCTACAGTTGAACGTCGTCGTAGAGACAAAATCAACAACTGGATCACAAAGCTGTCTAAGATAGTCCCAGACTGTGCCCAGGACCATACGAAGCAAGGACAGGTGGGGGTAATGACATTTACTTGAACTCACAAGCTCATGCTTTGCTGTGGAGGGGGAGGGGGGCGATTTGCTTTGCCAAAGCCTAATGAAGACTGTGTGGCATCTGTAACACTAACATGGTGTAGAACTGCATCAGCATTAAATATGGAAACATTTGCATGCAAGTTTAGGAGGAGATTTGCAGTATTGACAGTTCAGTAGGTTTTGTTATGGACTTAGTGAAGTCTTTTATTTAGTTGATAGGACTTTTGTTATTCTGTTACAAATGTTTGTATATGACTTCATCTTGTGTTCTCTGTCATAAAGTGTTTGTGTACATTCTATGATAACTGTTACGTTATTTGATGATGTTCTTCCTGTGGATTGTTTACTCTTGGTCGAAGTTTGTGGTGGCGTTCTCTTGCTGTGCGGGTAGCGTTGTAGTGTTTTTCGTGTTGTTTCTCTTGTATCTTTTCACGCAGAGTAAAGGAGGCATCCTTGCCAAAACGTGTGACTACATCCACGAGCTGCGCACGGCAAATGCCCGAATGGCAGAGAGTCTGAAGGATGCAGAGCGCATCTCTGTGGACGCAGAGTTGCTACGGCAACAGGTTGAGGAGCTGAAAAACGAGAATGCGCTTTTGAGGGCCCAACTTAACCAACATGGCATTGAAGCTGTGAGCTCCAACCAATAGTGTGACCAGTTGTGTGGATTTTATCATGTTGTACAAAGGAGAGAATGGAAGTGGGACCTTTCCCAGGGAGCATCTCAGAGTTGACTACATACCAGAAGATGTTGTACCATACATTCCAATAGCAGTACTGTGCAGTTTCCCTTACTCCCAGTTTCTTTAGAGTCCCATGTCTGTGCTGTACCTAGTGTAAAGATGAGTGGAGAAGAACATATAGGGACCCAAAAAATGTTAACTGGTGAAAATGATTAGTGTAATCTTAGATTTAAGTTGATCAAAGCACCTCAAATGTTCAAACATACATGCTCACTTCCTCCATGTACTTTGAATATGCAGCTATAAGAATTGTGTGTTGCTGTAGCGGACTGGTAGAATGTGCTTGTGTGAGTGGGTAAGTGTATGTGTGATAGAATTGTGGTTCCTGCCACAAGTACTATTTGTGACAGAAATGCTCCTCAAACTAGTCAAAGGATTGCTGAGGACTCTTTCTCTGTCCAATGACTAGATCAACTAGTTATGCCAGGTGAGGCGTGGTTACCCTGATGAAGAAGCCCTCTACTATTCAAGTGTTACATGTGGAAATGCTTCCATTAGTTTGATTTCAGTATTCTTGATTGCTTCTATTATATTATTATATTCATCAGACATCACATTTTCTCATAGCACAGTCAGACAGTGGTCTTCATTCACCAGAAATGTTATGTGTACTTAGGACTCCAAATATGTTTAGTTTTGTACATGTGCAACATAACAGGAGTGGATGCTGAGCTCACTTAACTTGAATATTTGTTTTGAATAAAAGAGCATTCTTGTTAAGGTTATCCTTATGTATATAGACAGACACAAATATGGATTGACTTTGGGTGTAGTTTATTTACAGCTAGTATGTAGCTTTTGATTGTTGTGGTGACTGGTGAATATATGGGAAATAAAATGTATGCTCTTGTTTTTTTGTAGTCAAGGTAGCCAAGTATCGAAAGATAAAAAGTACCAGTGATATGCATAGTTGTTGGCCTCTACATTGTGTACATACAGGTATTGTAGCCAATCACACTGAAACAGTAGAGGGTTTTTTGTATATGTTGCCACTGTGATATGTTGGGTCCTTTTTGTATGCAGTTTTGTACCTCATGCCCCAGCAAAGTTGATACCCCATGCAATGATGAGTTAAGCCTTGATATCTTCTACCGGTAGTATTTGTGGGCGGACCAGGAAGGATAATGAAAAATGGTGTTGGACAGACAATTTGTTGCTATTTCAAATTTGGGAAGGAAACTGTAACTAAGCAGTAGTAATTAAGATATGGAACACTGACTTCAGTTTGTGTGTTTAACATTCAGCGTGTTAAGGTAACCATCTGGCTCCAAATTTGTTTTGGTTATGGAGTTAGGTGACTGAGAAGTTTAAAGCTTTAAACTACATGTAACATTGGAACATTGAAGCCTCTGTTAATGTTACATATTTACCAGAATGTCTTCATTAATTCAGCTTCTAAGGTCCTTCCTGGTCTGGCTTTGAGTCCTGTGGTCCAAACACAGGGAAACTTCAATAGGGGCCCAAAAGTGTATTGTTCATAGGTACCTGGAAGAAAAGTCTCAAGTCTATGTAGGATAGGTTTGGTGAGAAGATGTGTGAAGGAAAGCCACATTCGTATGTGCAAAAATCAGGATTTAAGAAGCACAAGAATCAGGATTATAGGACATGGTGTAAAGTAGCGACTACCATATTAAATGAGCAGAAATTTAGACGTCATGTGAATAAAGTGTTGGTATGTTAGACGACATGACAGTTGAAGCTCTCTACATCAGATATTCCTCTACTCTGTATGAATAGGTTAATGTGATTGATGTGTGGCAGGACGTGTAATCTATGAACAAATGGTATGTGTTTCTTTTTGTGACTCTTCATCAAAGTGTACATATTTTTGACAATAAAGAAAACCTGATGAGAAACTGACACCTGAATTATTTTTTCTGGTCTTTGCTATTGATTGAAGTTGTTTGTTAGAAGAGATAGATGACAAGGAATGAATGAGTGAACGTAGGCCATGCTGCATGTACTGCGGTAATGTGAATACCTTTATGTAGCAGAGGTCTCTGTGAAGACTGGATAGTAAAAAGAGCAGAGCCATAATGATTTACCTGCCAATGTTTTGTAGTCCTTGTCTGGATCCAGTTCCCACTGCTATGTGGAGCTGCAAAATGAGGTCATTGATGATACATTTATGAAGCTTGAGTACGGCAATCGACCACAATCGTGCCAAGTCAACATTGTATTGGTCGTGCGGTACTAAGCTTTCCCGCAAAGTGGCGTTGATACGACCAAAGGGCGGGCTCAGGCCTGGGCGGGCTGATAACCATGTGGTATGCGCACCCCCGCAATAACAACAAAGTGGACTGATCCGGTTATGGTAATTTGTCAAAATGGCGGCATCCAAGTTCGTCTCCGAGCCCACAACCTACAAGAATCCTGCTAATTTTGCCTTATAAGTTTCATTATGTCCTCAGTGGCGATGATAAGAGGAAGAGTAGGAACCGAGGGATCAGAAAACGTCGGAACGGAGTTGGCGCGCGATCTCGCCGCCGAACAGAAGGACCATCCCGCAGGCCAAGCCCAGGTGATGGCATCTCAACCTGAACAAAAGTCCGACTCGGGAGGGAACAACAGCCCTGGTGGGCCAGACTCCGCCTTGGCACAGCAACAAGCCGACATCATTCTGGACCAGTCAGGTACGGTACCAGCTTTAACACAGAGGGGGAAGCTGGGGAAGGAACTTGTGCTGGTTTACCAGCTGCTTGTGGGTGTTAATAGGAGGGAGGGGGGTAGACATAGTAGAACGAGATACTACGTACGGACACTTGCTTTGCTTTGTGGGTGGCAAACACTGATGACTCATAAATGATGTTTACTGTAGATGTTAGGACGGAAGGGAGCACCACGCCAAATGTAGCAGGATTACATCTATACTCACCTTTAAAGAAAGACTCAAACTGCGCAGCATACACTGATAATGGTACACGAAATTATTATGATGTACACAAAGTAACGTTAGTTCACATGGAAGATAAATAAGTTTACAAAGGGCTTTAAACTTGTAAAAGGTTATATACTAGTACTTTACGAGCATATTTTGTATCCAGCATTCATCCATATGTGAATGAAGCGTAAGGTCACTATGTTTTTGCTGACAAAGGAATTATCAAATGAGAGGAAATTAGATACAAGCACCTAGTCAGGATACTAGTAACTGTTATATTTTTCTCTATTCTAGTACTGACTAGAATAGGGTGCTAAAATTCCATACTAGTAATTTGAAATCTTTTACTCTTGGTATAACACAACAGTCACAATTTTAGTTGTTTAATTGCTCGTAATTGGGTTTCATTGTTGGCTAGACATTATGAAAGGCACTTTACATCTTACAAGAATTTCCTCACTCCACCCAGGTCTAAGACTAAAGTGGGTACCTTACTTTGGTTGGGGTTGGGTGATAAAGACACGGTGGTAACAAGTTTTTAACAACCAACTGCCCCCACACCCTTGAAACAGCTATTGGACCTTCACCTTTTTTTATTTCAACTGTTCTTATGGGAAAACTGCAGTCATAAATTTCAGTCAGCAATGTACACTTAGTTTCTTGCTTAGCAGCTAACGTTATGTGATGTTATAACTCAGTCTTTCCACAGAGGCAACTAACTTTATGAAAGTTATCAAATTTGGTATGGATGCATTTTGAAGAGCAGTACTGAAGGGCTCAGATGTCCTGATGTGGTATCAGTGGGGCAATGTTGTTTTGGATAGCAGCTCAATTGATAAGTCTGAATGTTTGCATAGGGTTTCTGCAACTCCTCCACTAAGTTCCAGTTTAAGATAGGAGTGGTATCATCAGGATAATGGAAAAATATGGAAATTTGTGAAAATATGGCCGGTAACATGATCCTGCAATTTGAAAACTAGGCAATAGTTACTTACACATTCAAGTATTATCGACTACAGGTGAGAAATACAGGTGAGAAATTATAATCTGAGACATTTCCAACAATATGCAATGATATACAACTGATTATTTATAGCCAACAACACTTTACTAAGCTGGAAGACTGTAAACCAAATTTTGCCTGTCTAGGACTTAGTAACTGTTACCACCTACATGTACTCCCATATATTTTGTACTAGTATGTGTCCAAAACTATTTGGGCTACTGGTAAATATAAACTGAAGAATGCTGAAGGTATACATCTAAGTTTGAATTGCTGTACATATGTCACTCACCCATTCTTCACATGCAGTCCAGACATTTGTAAATGGGATACAGACATCTAACTGTTAGGTCAGGAGAAATGTAGAAAATCATTGAAAAATCATGAGAATAAAAGTATACTGATGCTGCTACTGGTCAGTACTGTTATCTATTATGACATAAATCTTTACATTTACACAAATCAGAGGTCATTAAATCGTTTCATAAGATGGACATTGAAACCATAGACATGAAACTAGTCTCTGCCAGGCTCTATTTTTTTTCAATTTTTTTGATGGAAGAATACTAGTAGTAGAAACTAACCAAAAAGGTTGAATGAATAATTTGCCAGAGGAGTTAGTCAGCCATAGTATTAGAACTACTACTTGTAATCCACTCTGGTTGAGGAAATTGCTACATGTATACAAGGATGTAGCTCAGTCACCCTGCCAATTATATTTTGGCCATATTTTTTTCAATTTTTTTAAAACTCAATGGGGAGGTCTGGTAGGGACTTAATTGAAACAGCAGAAGACAGGACACTGATTTTCCTTAATCAAGTTGATGTTTTCCCTCATAGAAGCAGATCCTGATGTAAGGCCTGCCGTGAACATGTCCTCTGTTTCAGCTGTGAACGTGGCATCTATACCAGGCGCTGGGCTTCAGCAGGGCGTGGTTCCCGTCCAGCTCAGTCCGGGTGTGACCATCCTACCTGGTGTGGCGAACAATGCTGGCCTCATCACCAACTCTGTGGAACAGTAAGTCTGGGAAATCTCTGCTTGTACTAAGTTGTAGTAGATGGACATTCGGCTTCATGCTCACAAAACAAATCATGTGTGTTGCTATCCTAATGATACATAGCTAATGTAAAGGATACAGTTTTGTGTTCTGCCACACATAGACATTACGTTGTACACCCCCTTCTCCCTATGTGTCTGTAAACTGACAAGGTCAAGTGCTCCTTGTCTTCATTGTCATTCAAAGATTTCTCAGTCGTCTGAAATATGTCCTGGACTGAAAGCATGCATCTGCTTGTACATGTATTTGGTAGATTATATGTGCATTAGGAATCTACTATATTGTTTTAGATATGATGAAAACATAATACAAGAATGAGCAGTGTCTAATAGAAAGGTAAATATCTTTATTCTCATTGCTGCTATCTAAAAAAAACATTTCCTTCTTCTCACAAGATTTTATTGGGATTGCAGCTAGAGAATACAATACAATGCGGGCACTAGGCAATTTGTGGAAATCCTTCACAGTGTTATTGCCTGGGCACTTGTGCGTTGTTATTCAGGCTAGGCACCAATTATTACCAATAAAATGACATGAAATTTTACATTCCAGTGAGCAGAGGAGGTACAGGAAGAGGGCAGTGCATAATGAAGGTGAGCAGTGGTTCCTTCGTGTGGACACATCAATCATTAATTCTGGGGGGCTATTGTGGATGTGAGTGGCATTTTTGATGGGACGAGTTCATGTGCAAGACATGCAAAGATTGCTGTGCAATATTCCAGACATGTGGGAACATCATGCTCCACATTCACAGCTAAGAAAAATTGACCAGCTACTGCTGGATATGCTGTACATTCATTTTTAAGTTTGAAGCATGTAAAATGAGTTTGCACCTGTTTACCGTATTTGTAAGTTTGTACAGTACTGTAGTAACACAGTGGAAGAACATAGATTTGATGAGTTTTCAGTGAAAGGTAACTGCAAAACCCTGAGTTTAATAAAAACCCTGCGAACATGTCAAAATTTACAGTACCAATAATCAATTCTCACTGTGCCACACTCCATGCTAGTTGAGAGAAGGAGAAAGGACAAGATAAATGCAGGTATCCTGAGGATTGGAGAACTTCTACCATGCACACAGCAGGAGAAACAGGTTGTGGTAAGTTTCTTCCAATTATTTTTCTTTGCGTACGTGTGCGTACCTTAAACAATTATTCATCATGAATTGGCCTAAGGTTGTTTTCTGATGTTCTCCTGTTGTTTAACTTCATTAATTTAATTGTGTTTCCTGTCCAACTGTGACTTTGCATTGGTAGCTGTACAGCTACCAATGCAAAGTCACAGTTGGATGTGTCAGTCAGATATGGACTTGACTATATTCACATGAAACTGCATGTGCTGGCCTAGGTACAGATTTTCTCCCTAGACTCTGTTTTCTTATTGATTTTCCAGTTCAGCTTTGTTTTTTTCAAATCTGACCTAGACCAAACAAACAACATTGGAGTGGCCTAATGATATGGCATGACTGATGAGGGCTTTATTCCCTCATAGAGTAAACGAGGTATTCTTGACAAGGCGTATGACTACATTGTGAAGCTGAGTAAGGAACATGAACACATGCTGATGAATGGAGGGTCACCTGTGCAAGGTAAGCACGATGCCCGGCTTCTTTACATTTTCTTGTTCTGTAACATAAAAAAGGAACATAAAAAAGTATATGTTAAAAAACAGTTCCAAAATATTTCTCATTATTTCAATATTTGTTGCTATCTATAATCCCACCTCATCCCTAGATTGGATTGACACATGTTCAATTTTTAGTTGAAGTTTCCCCTGTACTGGATGTATTGTGTACACTGGATAGGTATTTCATGTGGATACCTATCAAAACACAATGCCTGTAACTCTCCAAGCAGATGTAGGGTAGGGTTCAGCTCAATGTTTTCTAATGCTTTTGAGGAGTTTTCTTTCTAATGCCTCAACTCAAAAACTTTAAAACACTGAGCTGCACATCAGCTGCTGCACATGATGTGTGCTTGAAGATTGAATGCATATGCCCCTAACAGTGTCATCCTGTTGTTTCAGCAATGGAGATCAAGAGACTGAGGGAGCAGATCAACGAGTTGACCGTGGAGAAGGACAGGTACGAGAAAGTGCTGAATCTGCACGGGATCTCCATCAGCCACGACCCCACCCTGATGTGGAAGGGCAAGACCAAGGCCGTCAGTCCCGTTGGGCCGTACAAGTCTGTCACGCCGCTGGTGATCCGTCACGTCAAGACAGAGAGCCAGCAGGTTGTGTTAGGCAGTCCGCTAGCAAGTGGACTGAACACACAGGCGAACAGTAAGGGAGGGGAAATCCCACTTGTGCAGACACCCAACGGGCTGCAACAGGCTGTCCACACAGGGATGTCTGGACTTCTGATGACGAAGCCAGCGGCTAGTTCATCAGTGGTTGGCCAGCAGGTCCCTATTGGTCAGACGGTTGTCAATCAGGCCGGAGGTCTGGTCAACCTTGTCCAAGTCCCTACGCCAGCTGTCAAAGTCTTCCCTTCCATTGTGGGGAGTTCAGCAGGGCCCGGAGCCCTTCAGGTCAACCCTACAGTCAACACAGCAAACATGTCGCTTGTTTCGCCACTGATGAGTGCAGGGAGTGGAGCGGTGCTCGGCTCGCAGCCCTGTGCCTCCACAGTACAGACCAGCATGGCAAAAGTACCACAAAACACAGCAGTTCAGGGTGCCATGGGACCCACTGTCATCCCAATTCTAGGGAGTGCACCGAGTGCCACTGTAGGTTCATCCCAGGCAATAAACACACCGTCGTCAGT